AACAAACTTTCGAAATATTGTATGGATATACGCCAGATCCAATCAAAAAGATTATGAACGATTGTATAATATCCTTGGAACTAGTGGATGTTTCGCGGGTCCTCAATCCTGATCATTCGGAATTTACTTGAAGCAGATGTAACCCGATTTTAATATTTTTAATCATCGTTTCTCCGATCACCACTGTTAAGCTAGCAAATATTATCTCTCGCGCCCTCTCTCTGATCATTCAGCCATTCCTCTTAAGTGTTTTTGTGAAGGACTTTCATATTGAAAATTTGAGTCTGCTTGTTAACGGATGCAGATTTTGTGAATTAAGTCACAACACCCCGTCTAAGTGAATACAAGAAAGTTTAGCTTTTACTGTAGCATTGGGTGGGTATGACTGGATTAAATTTTGTATTAAAGACGTAAGTGTACAATATAATAAGGGGTAGTGTTGGAATGCAGAGAGAGTAAATTAATAGGATGGAGAAACTACTTGTTAACTACTGAGTCCAACGAATCCAACTACTGAGCTAATTGCTATGTAGACGATATCTGAAAGCTTTGTTTAAAATAGATATATTGGTGACGATGGTTAGTTAAACATATTAACCCATGTATGCTCACACCAATAGACGTTATTAAGGTTTTTGATAAGCTTGAATTGTGTCCTTAGCGATATTCATTCTGCGCAAAATGTTTTTGAATTTCTAGTATGTCCCGGATAACACTTGGTAGCACATGTGGTAATTGTTTCGATAATAATTTTACAGACCTATCATGAGAGCCAATTACGCTAGAAATTCTAATTTGCCAGAACTAGTCATTGTTTTATCTTAATTGGGAAGAGTTATCCATACTCTTCTAGATGTAATGTTATATAATTTTAACCTGTTAAATTCGATTCTCTTGTACAACAAACCCAGAAAGTGGAATAATGTATAACCACCAGGAAAAATAAGCTCGACAAACATGTAAGCTACATGCTACTACAGTGTAAGTTACATGTTATTACAGTGTAAGTTACATGCTACTACAGTGTAAGTTACATGCTACTACAGTGTAAGTTACATGTTACTACAGTGTAAGTTACATGCTACTACAGTGTAAGTTACATGTTACTACAGTGTAAGTTACATGTTACTACACTGTAAGTTACATTCTACTACAGTGTAAGTTACATGCTACTACAGTGTAAAATACATGTTACTACAGTGTAAGTTACATGTTACTACAGTGTAAGTTACATGTTACTACAGTGTAAGTTACATGCTATTACAGTGTAAGTTGCATGCTACTACAGTGTAAGTTACATGTTACTACCGTGTAAGTTACATGCTACTACAGTGTAAGTTACATGCTACCACAGTGTAAGTTACATGCTACTACAGTGTAAGTTACATGCTACTACAGTGTAAGTTACATGCTACAACAGTGTAAGTTTCTACAGGAGCTAAGTTACTACAGTGTAAGTTACTACAGTGTAAATTACATGCTACTACAATGTAAGTTACATGCTACTACAGTGTAAGTTACATGTTACTACAGTGTACATGCTACATGTTACATGCTACTACAGTGTACGTTACATGCTACTACAGTGTAAGTTACATGTTACTACAGTGTAAGTTACATGCTACTACAGTGTAAGTCACATGCTACTACAGTGTAAGTCACATGTTACTACAGTGTAAGTCACATGCTACTGCAGTGTAAGTCACATGCTACTGCAGTGTAAGTTACATGCTACTGCAGTGTAAGTTACATGCTACTGCAGTGTAAGTTACATGTTACTACAGTGTAAGTTACATGCTACTACAGTGTAAGTTACATGCTACTGCAGTGTAAGTTCCATGCTACCACAGTGTAAGTTACATGTTGCTACAGTGTAAGTTACATGCTACTACAGTGTAAGTTACATGTTACTACAGTGTAAGTTACATGCTACTACAGTGTAAGTTACATGCTACTACAGTGTAAGTTACATGCTACTACAGTGTAAGTTACATGTTACTACAGTGTAAGTTACATTTACATTACGTCAGTGGTACCTTATCTATAATGATTACCAGAGGGAATAATAAAGTACATAAATTATAATATATGTATATGACGTATACGAGCTTATTATTTTTAGTACAGTACATCCGGGCACCTTAGTGAGGAGATATGCGTGTAAACTATGAATAGATTATTTTTAGAGACAGACATTTGACAATGTACTTGGCCACTTGGTAATCTAGTCACTAGAACTGATGAACGCCAGAAACGTCGGTGTTTGGTCCAGCAACGTTTTATTGTACTTACCATCATACCATCCACCAGTTAAATCTTCACCTGCTCGACCCATGTCGTCCATTGCTGAATGGGACCGATATGGTATGCGGTTCTTCTCGAGATACCCTGACCGTTGTACTTCATAAAACAAGATCGATTTGTGGAGAGCTTCGCCATAATCATACAGAGCCGCTGTAAAGGTTGAGATGCGAAGTTGTGTATGGTACATGATCGATTAAGTAGTTGTAATATTCTCCGCCAGGTTCGAAATTTCATGTATGTGTGTTTACACTCAATATGAGAGTTTTGTGAATAGATGTAATGTTTGGACCCCGACCGGCACTTGTCCAGTAGAAATAATGAATACGCAAAATCATGCGAACAAATTCAGACTTTATACCCATAAATTATTAGAAGACTCTCCCTAAATATAAGTATCCATGACTACAGCTAATGCTGTCGTCTGCACTCACTGAAAATACCAAATATTTCTCAATTGGTTTCTATTACGCCAAAATACTTGTTCTCATCTACTAGAAACATATAGCCTTACATATGAAATGCTGTTCAAATACTTGTTTGGTGAAGGATAATCACTTTATTTAAAAAAAAATTATAAAAATGGTGAAATTTGTTGAATTCATCCTGCACTTTCGAAGATATATAAAATTCACGACACGCACACGTTTTTAATCATAAATATGATTTATCTATGATAACATTGTTTTATACCTTTCTAAATAAATTTCAATCGAACAACACATACAACTTAAACGTGATCATGGTCGCTGATGGGTTGATTTGTCATCACGCCGCATATCATATCAGTAAGTTAATGACCTCTATTATTACCAAACGCTTCAGCGTA